GTTCCGACTGACAACGTGTCGGGTTCGGACGTGTTTTTGCGTACTGCGTATGTCCTTTGTCTGGACCTTTTTTTTTTGGACTTCCTCCTCTCTTAAGAGGAGTTTTTGCTTATATCTTACAAACCCATAAGAAACAATGGTGTATGGGCGACTAATGCCTAACCAGCCATAAAAGAAAGAAGAAGAAGAAGGAAACTTTGGACAGAAGATACTCTCTATCTCTATCTCGCATAACATGATTCATCACAGAACAAGTCTGTAATGTATCATTATACATCGCGAAGATGCTTTATTCTCGATTTAATATCTCGTATTTTTATTATATTTGATATAAATAATATAACTTTCTATATTTAACTTTTATGTCTTCCTCATAAAAATATTTATATTAGCTATTAATTTGCGATGACAACTCATATCTGACTTTTTTTATTTCCATTTTTATTAAGTATTATTTATTAAAATTTTTTAATTTATATTACTTTATGATTGATAGTATTAGAAATATTCATACACTTTGCACGTGAATGATACGGGAAGATAATAGCGATAAGGTCGCTACAAAAATTATTTTTTGTAAAAAATAATCTGTTAATAATAATGTTAAAAATAATAATGTTAAAAAAAATGGTGGCTACTTTAAAGCGTTAAAAATTATTTTTCAATATAATACGATATACAATAAACACATATTAGATTATAAGAAAGAGGAGAGGGCTTTACATTATTACTTTCTATTATACTTACTTTTGCGAATTACATGTCATACGATGTTATATAAACTGTCGTTTATATCGCTCGAATATTGATGAAGGAAGTGTAATACATGGAAAAAAAAAACTAAACGCGGGAACAATACCAGTTTACCTTGACCGCGTTGTTAAGTGATTAGATGCGCCACCTGTGATTAGCATAATTCGCGCACGAGTGCTAAAAGAAGTGCGCGTGTCGGCTGATGAAACGGGAGTATTCAAATGCAAGCTATTACGGTATTTTTACCTGCATGAAATAAAACGATCAGTTAATACTTGTATGCATTTTTATTTAAAAAATGCAAATTTACAATCACAAACGATGCTATGCCAATTAACGAAAATGATTGGAGCGTATTATTTGATACGAATTTTGATCGTTAATAGGCGATATTGATAAATAGTAAAAATGATTATTAAAATTGTTTGAGAAACATCTGGATGTAAAGTGACGTTTTCAATTTTCGTCGAAATAATTCTGTACCGAATGCATTGACGATTGCAACCAGAGCGACACGTAATGCATTATCCAAAGTGGTTGCTCGCGTCAATAGCCGACTATGTACGTATTTGCTTTTGCCTTACCACGTGTCGAGATGCGATGCGAGGTGGCACCTTTAGATTCACAATACGACTGATTGAACGCGGGAAACGTTTGCAGGCTCTTAAACGTTGAATAGCTTCGTTATCGGACGCAATAGATAAAACGCCGAGAACAAAAGAAATCAAAAGAAAGATAGAATGTATAGGTAAATATAACATGGTTGGAAAAGCTCATCACGACATATTATCGTGCGGGAATCATTAGCTAAAAACTTCTCTTTCTCTCTTCCTCTCGAAGATATTCTAAATGTCATACATTTTTAATTCAAAGTTTCCAATTTTTATACACAAAATATCTCGCTTTATCAGAAACATTTTAATTACGCTTCGAGAAATTTGTGTGGAGGTCTGGTTTTTTTAGCAAAAATTTGTTGCGAGTTTTTATAATATTCTAATTTTCAATATTGTAATAATGCTAAATATCAGTTTTATATATATAACTTAAATTAAAATTTATTGTTAAAATAAAGATTAATTTTCTTTTTTAATTAAATAAATGGCGGAGATTTGAAATGTTTTATTTCTACCGAAATTAATTTTTTCGAAATTTAATTCAAGCCAAAAAATAAATTACACTTGTCAAAATATTTCAAGATATCAGATTTAATTTTTTATATTACGCAATATTTTATGCAACTCTTGTCACAGCATTAGATATTGATGGTAGGAATTTTAAAAGAATTAAAAATATTACACGCCCATGTAATTTTTCTATATTTCATGTTTTTTACGATGCGATCCAAAAGGGCGTGAAAACATGTCAATGTCGCTGGGAGCTGATCAAATTTTGCATCCGTAACGAAGTTTGATCGTCGCGCGAGGAGAAAACGCAGGCAAATATTGTGGGTTATACAGGTCCAGATAAATTTATTGCTTTCTCTCTGCGTACGTTACATAAATATTTGTCTGATTACAGCGTACTAGAGCCTACCTTCTATATCACATGTGGAAAAGCTGCAAAAGTATAATGCTCTTGCCTCTCGGCTACGTACAAAAAAATTTACAATAATTAAGCGCGCGCTTGCTTTCGCATATTATGTTCGCGCATGCAAACGCGATAACAAACGAGATGTCATGTTTTCTTTTCTTGTTCATTTTTTTACAACTATACGTAATTTTACATGCTAGACATGATGTTGGCTATTGGTCAGTATTAAAGACTAATTGACTATTAATTTAACACATTATCGGTTTCTAATGTTATTTAAGATAAATACTGCTTGTTACATTTTAAAAATTGAAACGTTTTTAAATGTCTCTAAGACTATATAAACACACTATGTATAAATGCCTATCTAACGTGCACTATCAAATAAGCGGATAGAAAAATACAGTTTTTAGTAATAAAATTATTGTAATAAAATAACTGTTTTTACTCGATAATATACAATATACATTATTGTATAAAATCGTCGTTATATTAATGTTACATAATGACTTAATATGTCAAAGATAGCGTAATAAGATTTATTTGACTTACTAGTTACCTCTTCGTCCTTAGCGCTTAAATTTCTTCGAAATATGTTTTATAAATATTGATTTTTTTTCATGCAGAGAAGAGAATTTGTAGATATTCGGCAATTATAAATAATTGTGTTACTGGATGTATAATGAAAGGTCGATATTGTTTAAAATTTAAATTTTCATTATTATATTCATGTGGAATGTATTTCCGCGTTTTGATATTTATGAATATTTTTCAGCGCTTTTATATGTACGTTAAATATAAAAAAAAAAATATATTTTATAATTTATAATTGTGATTTTATTGTTAGTGCGTTTTAACATATTTAATTTAATTTAATTCAATATTCTCTTATTTTCATTAAAATTTCATGTAGTAAAAATACTGTACTATGTATGTATATTTCTTCCGTAACTGTTTGTATGAAATATTTATTCCTATTATAAAAGAATTTATCGTTTTTATGCAATTTCCGGCTTAATCTTGCTTAATCCTTACTAGAAACTATCGCTGATATCGCGACGAGTAACAGTATCAAGATTTTTCGTTCCACAAACATCTAAGTCTACTTACTGAGCTCTTACATCCAGCAACACAAATATTTGTACAGAGCAGATAGAAGTCACACACACAAATTGATTCGCAGTAACTCGAAACTTTCTGTTCGATCTCGTGTTAATTTCGAAGAGAGGCTTTTCTCCCTCTCCTCTCTCTTTCTCTCTGACTAATTGGTATTTCTATCTCGAAGGACGAAGGGCGAATCTTATTACAAATGTTATTGACTTGACGCACTGGCATAGAACTTCATGACTTCTGCTCTGGCAGCATTCGCGATGGCACCTCTACACGGGTCAGGATCCCAATTAACCCCGGGGCAGTCCATCGATTCGAAACACTTTACGAGACGATTGTTATTGGGCGAACAACATTGAACAATCGCCCAGATACATGGCCCGGGAGGCCGTGGAGGCGGCCGCTTAGTCGGGGGGGCAGGGAAGTTTGGCGCTTGTATGCCCTCGCGATTTGGATTTATCCCCTGAAAACAGTTTATTAAATTAAATTCTTCTAATTTCATTCTAATAAATATAATTATATGTGTGATAAATATATAAAAATCTCTAGATATATTTTAAAAATTTCAACAGATGTGGGTGAAGGAAAAATATTTGTGTGCAATGCAAAATTCGCAAATTATTTTATTATTATTTAACGCATATTATATCACTTTTGTTTTAATTATATCGTCGTTTTCGGCGAGAATATTGCAAAAAAAAAAAAAATATATTGCCGAAGAGAGAGAGGGGGGGGGGGGGACTTGTCGAGGGGGTACGGAATCCACCGCAACTTGCCGTATGTTTTAATGAAGCACGCTTCGGTTCGGTAGCGCGAGACAATCGGTGGTGACCACGAGATCGGATTCGTCGTTGGTAAACAAAGCGAGCTTCGGCGGGGCAGCCGGATCGAGTTCGCGCGATCGAAGTAAAGTGCTTTTGGTAGGAACAAATGGGAAGGACTCACCGTGAAATCGATCTCGTTGTCGAAGCCGGTCCTCGATAACACCGCCGGCGAGACGGGCGACGAGGTACCGGGAGGGACTACAATTATCCTTGCGTTCACCGGCAGGGAGTTGAGTCTGACTAGTTCCCGCCGTCTCCACCGGTCGGTCTCCTTCGGTCTGTGCTCCCTCATTCTGCGGCAGGTGAAAATAGGGTTGCGTTTATCGAGCGGTCCGAATGAGTAAATTCTCTCGCCTCAATCATACGCTCGATGTGTTAATTGAAGTCGCCCGGAATCTGACGTATTACGCGGTTGTTGCCATTTTGCATTTTACGCGATTGGAGAAATACCTCAGATTGCGCAAGCGAAAATTGAATTCAATAAGATTATTAAATTTGATCAAAGGAAACGCGATTTTAACTCTCCGTTAGTCGCAATATTTTTCACCCAAAGTATTAGGATGGATAAAAAAAGTAAAGTCAGTAATATGGCTTAAAATAAATGGGGTGACAAAAATAATTTCTATTTTTAAACAATCCTTATTTTAATCTGTCTTCACATATTCATATATCAGTCTTTTAATGTTATAACGTGTATCTATTGGATATTGCGACTAATGGAGAATTAATCGTCTTTTTATTTCGGGGATAAATATTAGTAATTACAAAACATAATTATAAATAGTAATGTGAATATAATCAAATAAAAACACGAGATATATAAAAAATCTAATCATGTTAATTAATTTATATTTTTTGGATGACATTTTATCATATACATTTTTTTATATAGAGATATATCTTACACGGTTTATAATCCGTGATAAAATTCTATTTATAAATGTATACGTCGTATATCCTTACGTATGTATTTTAATTTTTTAGATATTTTTTCGTGTTATATGTATTATGAAAAATTATAGAGTTTTTTGTTTCAAATTCTGTCGCGTTTTATTCGTTAATCTTACTAATTAAAATTTAAGTATCAAAGATTTATACTCACAACTCCATCGCGATAATACTACTCCCCGACAATAGGAAAACAAAAGTAGAATAAAAACAAACACGAACAGACGGATGACGATAATGATTATTGATAGCACGACACAAATAAAGTTCACTGGCGATGGCGCCAGGCGAAAACCTTTTTGTAAAACATCGTGTCCCGAAAGGATTCTTACGTACCTGCTATCATCCTGTCGTCGTCTTTCAGCCTCCATTAGCCTTTGCTTCTCGCGTTCCGCCGCCGCCCTCCTGGCCTCTTCGTCCCGTACCAAATTGTTTGGAATCGGTTGACTATCCTGCCGTCTTCTGTGCTCCATCAAAAGACGAGGGTCCTGATAGTAGGTCGGCCTCGTGGCTTCCGGCTGTCTGGTTCTTCCAGCAGCTCCGCTCCTGGACCGTTCTTTCAGCGTCTCCTGTCTCCTCTTCTCGGCCTGCAACTTCAGTATCTCCAGTCGCTTTCTATCCTCCTCGTATCTTCTGGATTGCGCCTTTCTCGCCTCCTCCTCTCGTCTTCTCGCCTCCTCTCGCAGTCGCTTCTCCTCCTCTTCCCGCTGTCGCCTTGCTCTTCCGCCTCGTACCTCTGCCGTCTCTCCTCCAACCTTCTCTCCATCTCCTGCCGCTGCCTCTGCCTGACTTCTTCCGGTGAACCTCGCCGATCGATATTATACGTAGGTGCCGACGGGCCGTGGTGCCTCGCTCCTGAATTGGGATACCTGTCGGGATCGCGACGCCTAGCTTCCTCGATCAACCTCCGTTCTTCGAACCAGTTACGATCCGTTACGCTCGATTGATTGCTTCTCGAAGGCACGTTCACCGGCTGGTTCCTCCTGATGTAGTCTTGCAGCTTTCGCTCTTCCTCCTGCCTCCTACGTTGCTCCCTGGCGCGATATTCATTGTCCCTACTCGCGTTTATCTGCGGATCTCTGCTCTCTTCAGGGCCATAACGCTGTCTTTTTTCCTCCGATTTGCGATCGGCAGGAGTGACGTTGATAGGTTGATTTCGCGCGATATATTCCCGCAACTTCTGCTCCCGTTGTCTCTCATCCTGTTCCCGCATGCGTCTTTCTTCATCTCGATCACGTTGTCTGATATCGTTCGGATGACCGATACGGTGTTCCCCGCGCATCAAATTTGATGGTGGCTGCTGCCGCTTTGTCTCGTCCTCTTCCTGCTGTCTCTTCTTCTCTAACCATTCTCTGCGACGTTCTTCCAGTCGTCTTCTATCGTCTTCGGAAAGATCCCTCGCGCGGTCCTCTTGACGTCGTCTTTCCTCTTCTTCCTTTTTTCTTTGCGCTTCTTGCTGCGATCTGTATTGTTCTTCTCTTTGCAACTGTCTTTGTCGTTCTTCCTCCCTTCGCCTTATGTCTTCGTTGTGAAGCCTTTGTCTTCTTTCTTCGTCGCCCACAGGTGTTTCAGATTCCGATCTCCTCGCGTTTTCTTCGTTCCATTTGTTATTATGCGGTCTTTTCCTCGTTTCTTCTTCTTCCAAACGTTGTCTTTGTTCCTCCTCTTTCCTAAGTCTCCTCCGCTCCTCCTCTTTTTGTCTGATCATCTCCTCCGTTCGATTGCGCGCTATTTCCTGTCTCTGTCTCTCCTCCATCTGTCGTCGTCGCGTCTCCTCGTCGTCCATGCGAGGTGTCGAGGTATGATCCATCCTGCTACGATACTTATCATATTGCGTCCTTCGCATCTCGTCCCTTCTTCTCTCTTCCTCCTCCCATCTGCTCAGCGTATTTCGACCACCCTGTTGCATTCGTCGTAGTCGCTCTTCGTCCTCCCTTCGTTTCTGTTCGAGTAGATTCTCGTACTTCCGTCTGATACTATCGACGTCGGGATTTATTCCACGATGCTGGTCACGTCGTCTGGATACGTCTTGATGGTATCGCATCTCGTGCTGCCTGCGACGCTCATTCACGGTCTGTAATTCGTCGCTGGATACGACACCTTCGTTCTCGCCGAAGCCCCAATTGGCCGACCGCCTCGCGCGTTTTTGCTCGCCCTTCCCGTCCGCAAATCCCTCGGCCTCGGCGAGCCACAGTAACCGTCGATTCCTGATAGCGTCGTTCGATGAAACGAGCGCTCGCTTTGCTTTAGTTCCCTTTTTGATTTCGAGATCTGTCGATTTTTGTGACTTTTCCCGATCGATTACGAGTTCGCGGGAATTTTGTGGAATGGATTTACCCAAATCCCCTCGGATCGGTAACTTCTCCGGTCGCCTAGACTCGTCCAGATGGTCGGAATTCAGATGACTAGCGTCCATGTCGCCCCTGTTCGGCTTGTTCTTTTTTATAACGGTCTCTAATTTCTTTAACTTGAACAGCTCGTCCATCTCTTCGTAGTTTTCTTCATCGTATGACAGATTGTAGTCGAGATCGAGGGATATTGGCATTACGTCCAGTAGTACGGACGCCGGTACCACCCTCTCCTTGTCGGGCGTATCTATCGATCTTTTCGCCTTGTGGGACGATGGCGACGCTTCTAGACCCTCGCATCCAACCTGTAGCTCCGGCACACCGCCGACGTCGAAGGCGTCTCTGTTGACCGAAGGTGTCTCGGTTCGTTGCTCTTCGAAAAAGTTCGATTGCCTATGATGAACCCTCGGATCTATCGTCGTCGACTTGATTTCCGTCTTTAAATTCAAGTGACCCGTTTTCTTTGGAGCTTTGCTCTTGTTTCTTGACGGTAGATTGGTGGGAGGCGTGGTTGCGGTAAGCAGAGCCTTCTCTTTGGACAGGTCCAGCTTGTATATTTCCATCGAGCCCGGGCCTTGATCCTGGAACGTGTCGTCGGCCACAAAGGGGTCGTCCAAGAGGTCTGAACGAGGTACTATCGTCTCGCGCGAAAGCGTCTCCGGCATCTCGTAGCCGTAATCGACTTTGTCGGCCGCGAATTCCGTAGTAACGATATTTGGCAACCGCCTCTGCCAGCTTGAAATGGAGTAGACTCGCTTTGACGAGACAATGTCCTTCAGAGGTTTCTCGAGCGAAAAATCTTGCTTGGCGAACTTGGCATTATGACGTAGAGCTTTTAATTCTAAAAAATATAATTGTGGGAATTTTGAATGAAATATCTCGAAAAAGATAATTGCTGAATGTAATATTTTATGACGCAAAACTTTTCGAGATACATGCAAGGTGAGTAATTGCATAGAAAGTTACGTAATTTACGTATCTGATAAGAAATTCAAAATGATATCGATGTGTATCGAGTAAATTCTTACTTGAAATCAAACGCTATTGTGAGTGAAATTTATGACAAATTAGAATATTTATTTCGAAAAGATTAACTATTTTTATGAACATACACAAAATTTTAATAAACGTTTAATTTTTAATAATTTTTGTAAACGATTTAATGTATGGACGAGAAATTCTTCAAAAAATATTTAATAACGATTTTATGCTTGGTTAGAACTAATGTAGTTGCATGCTATAGCGACGTGAGTAATGCTCGACATCAATTTATGGCTTTGAAATTCTTGCATGCTTACAATGTAAAAGTGGGTGTATGCACATATGTGTGTGTGTGTTACTCGAAAGATATAAATTTTCCATTATTCTCCTAAATAATCGTTATTATGCTCTTTTTCATACTAGCAACGCGTGCAGAAAATTTAATAATTATTACTTACTTTTAAATATATCATGTTTATTTTACATTAATTGAATAATCTACTTGCTCTAAATATCTCTTTTATATTTTAATTAATTTATATTT